TTTTACTTGGAACACCTATTAGGGATAAAGTACTTTTGAATCATATAGATATTCGACTTAGCTTCAAGATACTTGTTACAAGTATATGAACTGACTGTTGGTCTCATTTGACATTTGCTTCATCCTTTATCATATGACAAAAACTATTGGTACATAATAGGTTTATTGATATGATGAATAATCACTATTAATTAACAAGCACAATACCTGGCAAAGCAAAATTAAAATGTTGCACAAGTAGGTTTTTCTCTTCTTTTTATATTCATGATTGCCTTGTACCTTTGTTCTTCTCCAGTTAGTCCATAATCTAGAAGTCATAACTCAACTGTGAACTGTGGTCTGGTTATTTAACTTGGGAGATTTTCTTTCAAGAACAAATTGAAGGGACCAGGCCCAGGGGCCACATGTTTCTGGTTTTTATTTTTGTCCTTTTTTAAGCAATACACATAAACTAGAGGGAATATGGGTTTTGTAACGAGAAAAAAGGGAATTAAATTCCAGCTCCATGATTTTCTGGCTATGAAGCCTTAAGCCAATTTAATCCCATCATGCATAAAATTGCCATAAGCATACCTAGCCTTTAGGGTAGTTGTAAAGATTCATGTAAATTTTAAACAATTTTTTCTCCAGTGCTTGCTTTTCTCTTCCCACTCCTTTGTATCATGAACCAAATAAAGATGTTGATCTATTCTATGGTAATGTTGTTTGTAATGGATTTTCCTGTGTACCACATAAACACTCCTTAATGATCAAGACACTTACCAGCTGTTAACTTTGGTGTCTATTGGTTTAAAGCTACGGTCCTGTTTGGGGATTATCCTCAGCTGAAGATAGATGCCTTGCCCAGAATTTATCCTTTACTTTAGACTGGGTCTGGTGACTTTTCCTGCATAATTACCAAGTCCCCAAACTTTGAGCAAGGTTATGTCAAAAAGAATTTTCTTAGCTTCTGAGAGCCCTGAACCCAGTAATTGGAACTTAGGCTATTCATCTACTAAAAATGCAAGTATGAAATAGTCTAAGTCTTCTTAAATAAATTAATTGGGTTGTAAACTATAAAACTGAATCCTAGTGTCCCAGGACACAGACCGACAGGAAGATCCACTCCTGGAAATATTTTAGAGACTGACCTTACTAACACTTGTCAGGGTAAAAGAAGGGATACACAGAGGAAGAAGTAAATTCTATTCCAGTACCATCAGGAGTCTCTGCTAGGTATACTTATGGCAATTTTTTTTAAAAGATTTATTTTTATTATTTTTTCATTGGAAAGGCGGATATACAGAGAGGAGAGACAGAGAGGAAGATCTTCCGTCCGATGATTCACTCCCCAAGTGAGCACAACGGGCCGATACTATGCCGATCCGAAGCCAGGAGCCTCTTCCGGGCCTCCCACGCGGGTGCAGGGTCCCAAAGCTTTGGGCCGTCCTCGACTGCTTTCCCAGGCCACAGGCAGGGAGCTGGAAGGGAAGCGGGGCTGCCGGGATTAGAACCGGCGCCCATATGGGATCCCGGGCGTGCAAGGCGAGGACTTAACCACTTGCGCCACCGCGCCGGGCCCAACTTATGGCAATTTTATGCCAATATAAATATACATGGCATAATAAGATAAAACATCTGCTTAAGGTAAGATAAATTAGTAATTATTAAAGTTTGCAAATGAACATATTATGACAGTTCTTTTTATTCAAGAAAGTATTTCACAGTCTTTACTTGAGCATCATACATATAAGTGAAGAGAGAGAAGCAAAATCAGTGGGTGGAAGATTCTATCTCTCCACCTTTCAAATAAGTCAATTTTTTTTTTGATAAATAGAAGGGAAAATATGTTTGAGCATTAGTGACAAAGTTCTCAATAGAAATAGTCTTGAATAGAGAAATGAGTAACATATCTATTTTAAATTCATACCATACCATTAAATATGTAGCTGTTAAAATGATGACAAGACATAAAATGGCAACTGTGGCCAGTAGAGATTGTATGAGAAGTCTGAATTTTGGCCATAGAGAATGTGGCAATCTCACTATTACATCATCTCTACATGGTGACAAATCAATCTGCAATATTTAAGAAAGGATTGAAGTTCTTTGTTTGCCACATTCATTCCTTGGAGATCTTATCTAGTGTCTTGATTTTAAATAGTCTGTGCATACTGATGATTCTCTAATTTATATGCCTAATCCAGACTCTCTAAATAGAATACTGTGGATGGATTTGTTTCCAGTTTTTATGTTTAAACACAATTTGAACTTAACACATGATATCCTTAGAAAAAATGTATTATATTGTGTGGCAGATTTGTATCACTCACAACTTTTCCTGTTTCAGCAATAGCTCGTCCTTTCTACCTTTCAAACCAAAGATCTAAAACCATATTTGAGGTCTCTTTACTCATAATGAGTTCTTCAGGGAACCCTATTGGCTTTGGCTTCTCCAAAAATCCAAAATTAGACTACTACTTACCATCTCCTCAAATATCACTTCTGATCAATCTAATGTGTTAGAATTTGTAAACTGTTTCCACAGTATTCTCAGTTCTAAAGATATCTTATAAACTGATCTGAATGTACAATGCATATGTTTATTTAATTTTTAAAAGATTTATTTTTCTTGGAAAGTCAGATTTACAGAGAGGTGAAACAAAGAGAAAGATCTTATGTCCCCTGATTTACTCCCCAAGTGGCTGCAATGACCAGAGCTGAGTCATCTGAAGTCAGGAGCCAGGAACTTCTGGGTCTCTCACGTGGGTGCAGAGTCCCAGGGCTTTGGGTCATCCTTGACTGCTTTCCCAGTCTACAAGCAGGGTGCTGGTTGGAAGTGGGGCAGCTGGGACATGAACTAGCACTCATATGAGATCCTGGTACGTAAAAGTCAAGGACTTTAGCTACTAGGCTACTGTACCATGCTTGCATTTTTTTTTTTTTTATTTTAAAGCATGAAGCACAGCATGATAAATCAGCATTATTCACATTTAAAGGAGAGCAATGAATGCCAGATTAATCTTTCAAACTCAGCTTTTTGAACATAGGATTGTTCTGCTGTGTATGTATGTGACTCTTGTTGATAGAGGCTTATTTTGCAAAAATGATAATGTCATTACACAACTGAACATATTTCAGTAGCCTGTAAAATCTTCCTTCTTTCCAGCTATGTAAATAATTAATTTTTTTAAAAAAATACTGAGTTTGATTTTTTACTTTTTTTCTATGCAAAAGAGAATTACTTTGAATAAATTGGAGTGGAGTCTTGCATTAAAATGGTTCTTTGAACAGAGTACCACAGAGAGAAGTCTCCTTTTTCTGGATACTTTATAACAAACTACTGGAGGACAACATATTTTATGATCTGGAATATTTTCATCTCTTTGGCATCTTTTTTCCTGCATGATTCTTGATTTAGCCCTCTTGTCAAAGTTTTATATAATTCACATATTAGAAAAACCACTAGCTTTTATAAGATTATATATATTTCAACTATACCTCTTCCATAGACATTTTGATTTGATAGATCTATATGGTTATTGGGCATATCTTCTTAAGCATTTAAAAAAAAAGACTTGCTTATTTAAAAAGCATGCTGCAGTACTCATTTCTCAGTATGCCAGTTTTTATTACACAGTTCCTCTAGGTGAATAGATGTGTATTCATGTTTCCCAGAACCTGTGGAACTGTATCATGAAAAATAAAAGCTAAAAAAAATTTGAAAATGAATTAAAGCAGTTCGCTGCCCTTCCCATTATGCATATTTATAGTCCATTAGAAAGTGTCCATTTAATAAAACTAGGAATCTGATATTGGGGAAATAAAAAAATTACTCAGGCATCTGAAGGGTACTATCACCAGGAGAGTACCTATTCCTTGAATTCTTGCCTTCTCTATCATTTTTTCCTAAATCCATTCAACCACAACAGAGTTATTCCTTGCAAATTCTGCTTTATTGAAGGTGGGAGCCCATGTTACAATTATCTGTAGTTCTCTAAATCCAGAGTCTGAAGAAATTATATCCATTCATGCCAGCAGCACTTTCTTTGTATGAGTAAGCCAACATAAACACAAATCAGAAGAATCTTCTTTCATAAAGAATGAATGTGTTTATATTTGCCTTGTTCCCCAGCTTCAGAGAGTGTTTAAGACACAAAAGGCATGTCAATACATATTCTGACTAAATTGATTTAATTATTTATGTGATGTTACTGACATATGTTAAAGACACCCATGAATCTTTTTGCACAGTGTGTGACAACTTTAATATGTCATTTCTTCTACGATGTAATCACTACGGGATAAGGGTTCTTGTTCAATCACTGGTCAGTTAAAATAATAGAAGTGTGCTCATGAATTCACTGGAATACTTTACAGCGTGAAAACATTCTGACCTCATACACACAGACCCCCATGATTTCCCTTGTTGGACCTCTAACATAGCATTACAGTTGTGAATATCTTTACTATGGTATTTTTATGCACAGATATTTATTCACTAACTCTTTCCTTGACAGAACAAAAAGAAAATTTATATATTTTATCAAATCTAAAATGTCTTTCACAGTCTAACAACTTGAAAATGAGGAAGAATTTAAAAATTAATGTATTAGATCTATCGAATTTGCTAAATATATAGCTTGAATAATATCCACATTGTTAAAATATTGATTTCTTCTTAAATTCTGGAACAATTGCCAGTCATTGAGAATAAATTTTTAAGTGTCCTGGTTTCAGAACTTCAGTACTCTTTTATGTTACTGTCATGTTATGCTGCAGCTGGACCCTGAGATAACACCACAAATCAAATGTGAATTAATAGGCAACTGTCTGATTTTAATGTTACATTAATATTCAATAAGCTAATTGCGTTCCTAGGCTAGAAGCATAACTAATTCTTTGTAAATATTCATTAATATACAAAGTTTTGTTTATAAGGCAAACCAGAATAGCAATACATAAAGTGCATTCATATTGAAAATGAGTACTTTCTATGTTGGATTTGTATTTAATATTGACTATTCCAATATCAAATTCAGGATGGAAATAAAGTCAGTACTAAAAGGATTTCTAATCAGTAATTTTTTCACAGCTGTTATTTCTCTTACATAAGCTATTGAAGATCAGATTCAACATGGGCATCAATTCTTCATTAACCAGAGTCATGCATTTATCAGTTTCCTGTGAATATATGGCTGAGGGCTTTCAGGTACAAGGAGAGAGAGCTGTCCCACAGAACAGAGCCACCACAATCAAATGGGCTGCACATGTTGAAACGGCTTTGCTTTGCCCATCCACTGATGCTCCGGGTGTTATAAGGATACATGCAATAGAGATACAGAGGAGCAGCATTGGCAGGGGAGGAGTAAGTACACTGGTCATGAGCATAATTAACTGCACCACAGAGGTATCTACACAAGCCAGTTTCAAGACAGCCAGAATCTCACAATCAAAGTGATTGATAATGCTGTTTCCTCAGAGAGACAACTGCAACACAGATGCTGTTTCTGCCAGGACAGTGAGGTGTCATGTCTCCCAGAATCCCTGGAGTCTGTACACAAACCCTCTTGTTCATGACGATGGGCTATTTCAAGGGGTTGCAGATGATCACATACCAATCATATGCTATTGTGGAGAGGAGTACACATTCAGTGGAGTCCATGGCAAGAGACAAGTACATCTGAGAGGCACATCCTGAGAATGAGATGGTGTTTTTTTCCCTGAAACAAATTTCTCCAGCATTGAAGTGAGAGCAGAAGAGGGGTACCAGCTGTCCAGAAATGAGAGGTTACTGAAGACTGTGTAAATGGAAATCTGGGACAGCGATGCAGATCAGAACAATATCACCCAGCAAGATTTAGGCACATCAGCAAACACAGCATAAATTGCTGATCTCAACTTTGGGGTACTGGGAAAATCCTAGGAAACACAATAAGTTCTAGATTTCCAATTTGCTTTGAACATTTTATTGTGGTATTCTATGTATGTGCATATATGGATCAATGTTACACACTGAACATAAAACCATGGGCTACTCCTCTTCACATTTTCCTCCTACATTAATTTGCACTTTGTGCCTCAAGCTTTTCCTGATTCAGTTATTCTAACAATAGCATGTATTTGAAGTAATTGGTCATTAATAATGTTTGAGCATGAAATTAAAAGATGCCTAAATCTTATTTTGCTGCAAGATTCTTTTTGCAATGTTAGGGTGGGAGAGGGGTTTATTCAAGAACTATCAGCGAGAGAATGAGACAAAAAGCATCCTTTTCTTTTTCTCAAATTACATTTGTAATTGACCAATGGCTAGATCATGTAATTCTCTCTAATCCATTGAAGTGACTTTCTTCCCCTTGCTTGGTAATTGTCTTTATGCTTCTGAAAAATTCTTTCCAAGATTTCAGTTTCTTCTGCCACTTCTAAAAAAGGGTCCCAAATAATTCAGGAGATTCAGTGAATGAAAAGATTAAGACATCTTTAAGTACTAACCAAATAATTGAATAAAGACCTTGAACATTTAGGCATAAGCCCATAGTCTCCTTTTCAAACCAAAGAAAATGGGAGGTATTTTTAACTGTGAGAGACACATGATAGAAACATCTATCATATTGCTAGAGTTGCCCTGTTGTCTGAGGTGCAGAAATATCCAATAAAGAAGTGGACTCTATCTTTGTAAGATGACTTAGATATTTTTTGAAAATTCTCCGACCTATGTAGCAGTTATAAATCTATTTTAAAAGCACTACAAGTTCTGAAACTCCTGAGACAGTATCCCGTAGACCCAGTTTATAGTCAGTAGCCTACTGAGTCTAATTTTAGCATTGTTCTTTTTTAAAGATTTATTTATTGGAAAGTTATATATACAGAGAGAAGGAGAGACACAGGGGAAGATCTGTCCACTGATTCACTCCCCAAGGGCTGCAATGGCCAGAGCTGAGCCAATCTGAAGCTTGGAACGAGAAGCTTCTTCTGTGACTCCTATGTGGGTATAATGTCCTGAGGCTTTTGGCTATCCTGGACTGCTTTCCCAGGTCACAAGCAGGGAGTTGGATGTGAAGTGGGGTTGCCAGGATTAGAACCACTGCCCAGGGCCTGGTTGCATGGCCTAGCTTCTAAAGTCCTCGCCTTGAATGCCCCAGGATCCCATATGGGTTCTGGTCCCTGCTGCTCCACTTCCCATCCAGCTCCCTGCTTGTGGCCTGGAAAAGCAGTTGAGGACGGCCCAAAGCCTTGGGACCCTGCACCCATGTGGGAGACCTGGAAGAAGTTCCTGGTTCCTGGCTTCCGATCAGCACAGCACCGGCCATTGCGCCTACTTGGGGAGTGAATCATCAGTCGGAGGATCTTCCTCTCTCTCCTCCTCTCTGTATATCTGACTTTGTGATAAAAATAAATCTTAAAAAAAAAAAAGAATCAGTGCCCATATGGGATCTTGGTGCATGTAAGGCAAGTACTTTAGCTACTAGACTAACATGTTGTTCTTAACGGTATGTTCTGAGGAAGGAGAAAATTTTCTCCTTGAATTTGCTGAAATCAGATTTGTTTGACTCCTCAACCCAAGAGATATGGTGGCTAGATGTATAAATATACGTATGTACATATGTACATACTTACATACAAATACACAATGTATCATTTTTAAAATTTATTCTGCTGATTTTATTCTGAGATCAGTCAAGATGGTTAATTTAAATGAAGTTAAGGATACTGGATAATGTCAAATTTTCCTTCAAGCTAAAGGACAATTTCATATGTATGAGATTTAATTTCCCCTCCATACATGGGAAATGGGAGCTTAAGAAATTTGTGATATTCACCACGACTAGACGATCAGAATTAAGAGGCAGATGCTCTTGGGAGATACAGGCCAGCAGCTTTAAGGAGCCTGTCTCCTCTTGGGAAGTTTGTTTCATTATGTAAAATTTTCTGTGTTTTTCTTTTATTAAAAATATGTAATGCTTTGTGGAGGTCAGTGTAATACTGCAATCCATATCTATGTACACACATATAAAGCATTTTTAAAAATTCATGGAAATGTATATTATGAAAGATTTGTACAAAAGATTTTGGTACCAAACTAAATGTTTACATTTTTCATTTTATTGTCTGAGGGGCAGTGAAATAGAGGGTGACAATTTACTTGTTTGTTTCCCAAATGTCTGCATTGTAATGGTTTGGGCTAGGACAGAAACTGGGATGTTGGAACAAAATCCACTTTTCCAGTGTCTGTGGAAAAAGCTAAATTATTTGAGAAATTATTGCCTTTCAGGGTTTGCTGTGGCAGGAGGCTGGAGTCAGTAGCCAAGCCAGCACCAAACCAGCTACTCCTCTGTGGAAATTGGACATCTTTTTTTTTTTTAAAGATTTATTTATTTTTATTATTATTTTTATTGGAAAGGCGGATATACAGAGAGGAGAGACAGAGAGGAAGATCTTCCGTGCAATGGTTCACTCCCCAAGTGAGCGCAATGGCTGATGCTATTCCGATCCAAAGCCAGGAGCCTCTTCCGGGTCTCCCACGCGGGTGCAGGGTCTCAAAGCTTTGGGCCGTCCTCGATTGCTTTCCCGGGCCACAGGCAGGGAGCTGGAAGGGAAGTGGGGCTGCTGGGATAGAACCGGCACCCATATGGGATCCCAGGCATGCAAGGCAAGGACCTTAACCACTGCGCCACCACGCCGGGCCCTGGACATCTTTTTAAAATTTATTTTGAAAGTCAGAGTTAGAGAGCAAGAGAGCATACAGAGATCTTTTATCCACTGATTCACTCCCTGGATGGCTGCCATGTCTGGTGCTGGGCCAGTCCAAAGGCAGGAGCTTCTTCTAATGCCCAATGAGGGGGATAGGAGTCCAGGTACTTCGAATGTCATCTATTGCTTTTCCAGGCCATTAGCAGAGAGCTCTATTGGAGGTAGAGCAGCTGAGAAATCAACTGTACCAGTAAGGGATTTAGGAGTTGCCTGTGGCAGTTTTACATGCTATGCCATAATGCTAACCCCAGAAGTCAGCTTGTAAACTGGTTGCTTAATCTCTAGGCACATAAACCTGTTCCTCCACTAACTTTCAGAAGTATCCATATAAAATATGTGATGATGACAACAGGCAAGTTAGCATTTCCATGCCCTGAAGTATTTTAAAATGATGGTTAGTAATAATTACATGTATTTCTGAGGTACAGTGAAAAATCTCACTATATATATACTATGTGCACTGATCAGATCATGGTAATTAACCTTTCTGTGTTCTGATTATTTTATATTTGGACATTTTGATTTCTTCTAGTTACTCATAAAATATGTATTACTTTATTATAAGCTCTAGTAACCTTAGTTGTCCTGTAAAAAAGAGTTTATTCCTTTCAATTGACTAGATCTTGGAACGGATTGCACAGATTCCTTTTATAAGCTTCCATCCCCTATACTTGCCTTCGTCTCTAATAATTTCCAATATATCTTTAGGCCGAGTTTGCTTTTGTTCTGTTGTTGTTGTTATTTTCCATGTAGTTGAGAGAAAGCACACACAGCACTTCTCTCTCTCTGTCTGACTTACGTTGTTATTTACGCAAGGGTAGTTCAACATGCACAGATCAATACAAATAACGTCGACTGAATGTTGTTGCTTTTGATTTTTATTCCTTTGTGGCCTGAGAATATGCATGATATAATTTCAATCAATTTAAATTTGAAGAGAGCCGATTTTTGGCCTCCTATAGTCTACCCTAGAAAATGTTCCGTGTATTGATGTGTACATATAGTGTCCATTGCACGACTGGTGTGATTTAACCTCTGTATATCTATGTAATTTTCTGTCCGGAGGATATTTTCATCGATGTGGGCTGTTGAACTCATCTGCTGTTACTAAACTGGATTCCATCTCTCCACTTAGTCCTAACACTGTTTGTTGCATATTTCTGGGTGGTCTTGTGCTGGATACACATATATTTATGATTATCATAGTTTCTTGATCTATTGATCCCTTTATGGCTGTCTTTATCTTTGCTTACAGTTTTTATTTAAAGAGTTTGTCTTTGCTTACAGTTTTTATTTAAAGTCTGCTAATGATCACAGTGAATCTTTTGGGTCTTTTATTCACTCACTTCCAGAGATATAATTTACAAAGGCCTTGGGTCACTCATGATTCATTAACTGTAGAGCATCTCAGTGTACAGGAAAGCCTGTGGCTTTTGAGCAACAAATATTTTCCATTTAACACTTCATTTTTGCCAACCGGGGAAACTGATGACCCTCATTGAGACTCAGCTTATTTGTAAGTTTGACAAGATTTCTTTATCAGAGTTGTTGTAAGAAATAGAGACATTTCGTGCCCAAAAGATAGGAAGTATTCAGTGTTCGTGTTAGGTTTTTCTTTGTACTGTGAGATTTTAAAATTTTCTTCTTAACTCTCATTTTACCATTTCCTCTTTATTTGACTGTTTGACTTACTGACCCTGACATTTTCTTTCTCCATTTAAACAAGATCCATTGCAATCATAGTGCAAATAGTTGAAGCAAAAGAGAGTGACTGTTTTTTGAAAATATGGTCCCTTTATCCCTGAATTTATTTATCTAACACCACTCCTAACTCACCTGTTCAGTTTCAATGGATCAAGGCTTGTAAAGTATATGATGTGCAGTGACCTGATGCAGCTAGAGAGAAAGGGCAGAAAACATTTTAGTGCCATTGGTCTGGATTCTGATAGAAGCAGACTGAGATTGTAAATGGTTACTAACTTGACTACCAGACCAAAATTTGGATTTGATGTGTTAGTCTCCCTCTTCTCCCAGATCTATATATAATAAGATATTCCTGAAAAGTATCTCAAACTTTCAATTTCTAGTGATGGTGCAGTGTCAGGTGGCAGAATACTTTGAATGAGACAAGCTGTTATGACAAAGTTTGAACAATTATGAAAAAATCCTAACTATTTGAAGGCACTGTAG